TTTGTTCTTATGCCTGCGTTAAGCAGAAGACTTAACCAATGCAGGCCATTACTGAAAGATATACCTGGTCAAAAATCGCCTAGGTTACCAAAATATTCGCCTCCCATTGTACGTACAAAGATATGAGCATAAGATGCAAGTAGGCCTTTTTATCTCAAATCCATTTTTGGCTAAAAAAGCGTGGTCTTGAACCAGAGATGCAGACCCCTTGTGAGTTCTTTCCTCCCTCCCTCAAGCTCTATCTATTAGGTTGGCAACTAAGTCATTGCCAATTTCAAATAAGAAGGCAAATTCGGAATTTTTGTTTAAAAATATAACTTTATTCAATTAGATATTGGCCGTTCTTGTCGATGACCTTTTTCCATCGTTCTGGCAGAGTAAAAATTCCCCGTTCGTAAAATGTCTGGTCTTTGCTATTAAAAAACTGAATTAGGTGTGATCCGACATCATCCGCGTTGTTAAAAATTTTACCATTTAAAGAGTTTTGCATGGTACGAAACAAATGGTAATCCGAAGGCGCAAGGTCAGGGCTATATGGTGGGTGTGACAAAACATCCCAACCCAGTTCCAATCATTTTTGCCGAGTAACCAAATGTGTGTGGGGCCTTGCGTTATCATGATGGAAAACAACACCCTTCCGATTTGATAATGCCGGCGGCCGCTTATCTTCAATTGCATCCTTCAGTTTTTCGAGTTCTTCAACATACACATTTGAATTGATCGTTTGGTTCTGCGGCATGAGTTCAAAATACAGAATTCCTTTGTGATCCCACCACACTGACAGCATAATCTTTTTTGGTGAATCTCTGCTTTTGATACTGTTTGGGCTGGTTGATCTTGCTTCACCCATGGTCTCTTGCGAGTAACATTGTTATAAACTATCCACTTTTCGTCGCCAGTAACTAGGTTCTTCAGAAATGGATCATTCTCATTGCGTTTCAGTAGCGGCGAATCACAGATGCTAATCCGTTGAGTCAAATGAACTTCCTTTAACTGGTGAGGGATCCATAAATCAAGTTTCTTGACATAACCAAGGGTTTTTCATTTTTTTCAATGCATGTATGCGACACATTGAGCTTCTCTGCAATATCTCGTGTTGCGCTGTGACGATTTGAATCGATAATGGCCTTGATATGGGTTTCATCCACTTCGACTGGGCGGCCAGATCGTTGTGAATTTTTCAGTGAAAAATCACCGCAACGAAATCTTTCAAACCAATTTCGACACTGCCTTTCTTTTAAGGCTTCATCTCCATATACGGCACATAACTTCTTTTGTGCTTGCGATGCGTTCTTGCCTTTTCGGAAGTAATACAATAAAATGTGTCGGAAGTGCACGTCCTGTTCTTTCATTTTTAAATTGGGATAAAAACAAAACAAAAGAACTAAACAAAAAAATTTGTTACTAATTAACCTAGAAGCCCATACAGTAAGAAAAAAATATAGGTTAGATGCTCTGGCCACGTTAACAAAACAAAAGAAAGTATAGAGTGAATCCGTCAACAAAAACGACAATGACTTAATTGCCAACCCAATACTTAACTTCACTGAGCCATCCCATTAGACATTTAACTTTACCATTCTCTTGTTAATTTAGAAGATCAAACTTTTGTCTTTCATGCCGTCATGTTATAATGCAGAAGATAATTAAATGGATTATTATGTCAAATTATTACCCTACTTTAAACTAAATGAGCTTTTATC